CGGTATGTTAATAAGAAGGGAAAAAAGCAAACCCAAAAAGTTCTGATAATACATTTTTGTCCTCTATACATATGATTCTCCTTTTGGAATTAGCCCCAGAAAATCATAATTTGTGTCTGATTGGATCAAATTAACAGCTGATGACTGATTGGCGACAAAACGTCCTCGGTGTATAGAAAAACAAACATGGCAAAAGCAAAGTCACACACATTTGGATTTAGTTACGATTTTTTATTTAATAATTATTGAAAAATCTGAACCCATTCCGCCACATTTGAAAAATTAAAATTTTAGCCTTTTTCAAAAAAAAAACCGAAAATTAAAGAAAACCAGAATCGAAACAGGCGGCCCCTTAAAAATTTTGCGAAAAAAATCCCGTCCTATTGCAAACATGGCATTTACATACTCTGGACGTTTCGAGAATAACTTGTCAAAATTAAAAAAAAAAAACCAAAAAACATATTCCGTTGCGGGGAATCGAACCCCGGCCTTATGGGTGAGAGCCATAAATCCTAACCACTAGACCACAACGGAGATAAAAGTAAAACATTCACTAGTGGAAGACATAGTGGAAAGGCGCCGCGCTAGGACAGAGAATGACGAGAGGAGAGATGGGAGATGGAGAAACGAAGAAATGCAAGTGTGCGGCCACTAGAATGGAACAAATAAAACGTTTCGAACGAATTGGTTGTTGAAGTTTTGCTTTCATGGAGAAGTTGAAAAATGATTTTGTGGTGTTCAGAGAACGCACATCTTATGAAAAACGTTCTATAATAAAGAAGATATTTGAAAAAGATGAAGATGAACATGTTCAATTTCGTGACTTTTATCAATTTGTAGCTGCTTCCACTACAATTTTCTAGGTAACGTTTTTATAGTGAATTTTATAGTGATATCAAAAATTTTATTATATTGTGATGATTCTCTATTCTAATCATGATTACGATGATGATGACAATTTATATGAAATCATCAAAGTAGAAAATCTTTCAAGTATAAAAGGAGAAGATGTCATTTGAGAAACTATCAGCTTCTACAAATGAACTTCTCCATTTTCATTCTGTTGATTGCTATCGTATTCCTAACTGGACAAGCAGCAATCTTCTCTTCCTACCCGGCATACCAGAACTCGAACTGGCACTACGACAACTATGGAAATTTAATGATTGGAAATCGAGACAATGGATTCTATATGGGACCATGCTTTGGACCAGAGTGCCCCTGGGGAAAATAATTTTTAATATAATATTTTTTATAATCGACGGGTACTATAATTTCATCGTGTTTCGCATTAATTTGTGTAATAAATATTTTTTTAAAATCAATAAATAATCATGAACTTTTCGAATATTCATAAAGAAAACCGTCGTGGTCCACGGCACGCTGACAACATTAATGTAACTTGTGAATACCACCCCTCCAAAAGCCAGCTGGCCGGGACTCAAAGTATTTTTTCAGTCCAGATTTTATCTCACCTACAGTGTTGAACTATTTCCCTCCAGATGACGTTGCATATCTCCTAATAACCAATAATGAAAGCCGAATCAGGAGTTTGAGGGACGTAAAGAAAAACCGTCCAGCTACCGCTTTGGATGAACGGATCCCCACGTGTTTTTTACACTGTCGATGAGATAAAAACGACACTGAAGGTATGCTTTGATTTGCGGCCAGCATGCTTTTGGAGGGGTGCTATCCATAAGTTACCCGAATGTGGTCACCATGTAGTGGACCACAACGGTGCATACTGTCAATCTTGGATAAATATTGTTTTTGTGTGTATTGACGAATAAAAAAAATGAACAGTTACTTTCCTTTCAACCTAATATAACAGAAAACAACTGACAACATTTTCATATATTTATTACCTTTCCTATTTTTAAATTGAATCTCCGATGTTCGTCACCCCACATTGAAAATAAAATTAAATAATCCAAACGCATAGCTATCAAGTTTTTTTAAAAATTTTCTTTTTCGTTTCTTCCAGATATCGGATCGGATCACCGGTCCTGATATTTCTGGAAACATCAGCATCAAAACTTATCGAACCTTCTGCAGGACGGTAATCCGTTTGTTGTGTTGCGAACACGTGTACCTAAAAATAGGGTCTTTCAGTTTCTCATTAAAATGAATTATTTTCTAAAATACTAACCCTTGTTTGATGTGGACCTCTTGGAGGCACTTTTTGGAATATTCTTTCTGTTTCTTTTTCGGAAATGGAAACCACACTGCAATATGCAGTTTTGTGTTCCATCTTTGAATTTTCCCATTTTGCCGCACTGTAGCTCAGCCGGTGGCGACACGATTCTTCCATCAGTCAGTCCACAGCCTAATTTTTTTTGGTCCCTTGTCCCCCATTTTTAAGTTACAAAAACATCCATTCGGTCTGTGATTCCATATTTATACGGTAATCAAAACCATTTTTTATATAGATGTTCCCATTAAAATCCCAGCTATAAATAAATGGGTGTTCTATCGAACAGTCTCACTTAAACCAGAAAAAAAGTTTGTAAAAGCAAATACAGACCAATTGGACAAACATGGCTAAAAAAAACCAGAAGGTCTGGGATTAGGGTCATATTCTTTGGTTTTTTATTGAAATCTTTCATTTCAAAAAGAAACCAAATGAAAATTTCTTGTTTATGAAAAGTCTTCGGAGTTACTCTAATATGGCTCGGATATGTTTAGTTTCGATATTTGGATCAATCATATTCAAACTCATCTGAATTCTAACAACTATTCCTTCTGATAAATGGGACTAATTTGAAATTTCGAATAACCACCTAAAATTTGCGCAGAGTTTTGTTTTCTCAATGAACATGTGAATGGGCAGAAAAACAAATTCAAATCAATGAGAACCCCGAAAAAGTCTGTGGGAACCTCATTTTCACTGGCAATCTATTGACCGGCATCCTATTGTTCGCATTCGCCTATACATATAATACTTTGTTTCTGTTTCTGTTTAACTTTCCCCCATTTCACTCTCTATATCAAGCCAGGTGCCCTTTTGCTTCTCTCCTTTCCCTTTTTTCGAAATTTTGCCTCATTATTTTATTTAAACAGCTATATGATTTCCAGTTTGAAAACGCTAAAACGAACCACTTTGGTTGAGATTTCACTATTTTTTTCCCACTCGAAACCATAATCTTCGATCCATTTTATTTTTTTGGTCTGCCCACAACTCTATGCTGTTTATTGCCCAGTCTCGTATTATCCAACTTGTTTTTGAGCGTGTGATTTGTGAAATTTGAAAAAAAAACGAGAAGTGCGTTCATTTGAAAACCAATGAGAAAAATGAAACCGGAGGTGCATAGAGAGAGCGCTCAGCAACCCTTCTTTTTTTCGTTTTTTTTTCTTGTGTCGTTTTCGCTCATAAAAATGGCAGATGTGTTCCTTTTCTGAAAAGTCTTGCTTTTATATGTTTCTTCTCCTTCTTTCTTCATTTTGCAGAAGTCTTTTGTTCACTTTTCACATGAATTTTGTCCTTGTTTTGTCGAAGTTTTTTTCTTGGTGCTTATGTGCACAAGAATTAGAAGTCTAAAATTATTGAGAGATACAGCCTAACTTTGAATCCATACATCTAATTTTTTTGTAACAGATATCAAAAAGTGTTCAACTGACAAAATGTTTATCATAATATCGCCGATAGTTTTCCAATTGCCAAATTTGTTATTTCTTTCACGAGAATCGATATAAACTAGCTCAAAATTGATGATTTTATGATCAATTCATCAAACTGTTTACAATACTTATTTTCTCTGATTGAACCACACTTTATACGTATACTTTTAAAAAGATTTCTCGATTACTATAAGAAATATCAACAATCTGTCCACTGATAAAATATTAGTGATATTATGATGACTAGTTTATCAGTTGAAAATTATTTGGTGTCTTTTGGAGGAACCGAGGTGATTGAGCTCAAACCGCAAGTCTTAAAAACTAATAATCAGACATTTCAAAGTCTTTTTACAAGAATTTTTTAATTAGAAAACATTCAAAAAGTGGTATAAAATATTAGAATATATTTTTTCTTCTTTTTCACTTTTATGTTCCTTACTTTTCTTTTTTTTATTCCCATAACTTATTGTTTTTCAGACAAAAAATTGACCCCGCAATTCGCCATATTTCATCACATATGTGAATCGTACAGCTCCACAAAATGTCCTCCAGAGTTCAAGAAGTTCAGCATGCCTATTCGATAGCCGGATTTCTTCAAATGAAATATTTGGGAGGAGGTACGCCGCTTCTCTTACTACCGTACCCCCCCCCCCCCCGAACACAACAACGAAATAATGTCATAGTCAGCCATTCTATTTTTGGGGGTGCACAAACTGAATAATGCAAAGTCAGGCTCCCGGAGGAAAGTTAAAAAAAGCCAAAAAAAAAATTCAATATGAAATGTTGGCAATAGTTTTTGATATTCAGCTCTGGCATTATGGCGACCACGTCGACGATTCTATTTTGCGATTGACGAGATTGTGGAAGAGCTTGTTTATCACAAATCCGAAGTGGAGTTTTGCGCTCATAGGGAGCCGCTTGGCACTTTTCCAATTTCGAGTTCGGTGATCACGTTGGATGAGAACAATCATTTAGTCTTCATTTTGCAGTAAGTTGTTTTTGAACAGTTAAAGATAGAGAGTCCAATAAGAAATACAAAAGTATTTAAAAGTATTTCAAGTTTATTTTCAGCTTTTTTGACCCTTTTCAAAAGTCTGGAACTCGGCTATCAAGTTTTCAATCACTTTGAAAATTTTTAAGTTTGTAAAACAGATCTAGATTGAAACTTTGCATTTGTACACTTTTTTGGAGAACCCTATTTTTCAAGCTAATAGCCGATTTCTGAAAAACACTTTTTTTTAGTTTTGAGTACAAAAACGGGCCAAAAAAAGTTTCCTTCAGAAATCGGTAAATAGTTGAAAAACTAGAAACTTTCAAAAAATTCTGTGAATGCAAAGTTTTTAATCCAGGTATGTTTCATACCTTCCAAAAATTTCAAAGTGGTTGGATACTTGACAGCGGAGCTCCAGACTCATGAAAATGGTCGAAAATCAACTGAAAAACACGTATTGTATGTCTATTGACCGGTACTGCATAACCGACTTCTAATTTTTCAAGAAAAACTAAACTTGTGATAATTTCATTTTGATATGAACTTGAATTTTTTGAATATTGGCAAGAAATTTTGTGGAAATTCACGTGATTTCAGGTTTTCAAGCTCCTGAACTTTCAAAATTCTCGTTCTATGCGGTTTCACACCAGACACAGAGCCTTCGATCGCATAACTTCCCAATATTCCCGTACACATGAAATACAAATTTCAAATCTCAAAATCCCTCATTGCGCAATACTTGTGACCGTATGATTCATATGGGAGGGGCAGCGCGGAAGCAAACAAATATCCTGGAAGCTGAAACAAAGGGAACAAAGAAAAACTGTTGTCCGCGTGGTAATAGGGTATCCACATAAGCACACCGTATCACGTACAATATCATCCTGAATCAACAAAAAACACTTTTCATCAAAAGCATTTCAGCACGTCTGGCAGAAGCATCGAGTTCGAAGCAGATAACCAAGAATCCTGTCGTGCCTGGTTGAACACTTTTTGTAACCGGTATTCGGAAGCTGAAAGAGCAAAATATCAAATGATGACCCATCGGAAAGTGAAACGAGCCGCTAGCCTCCCAGTGAGTACAGTAATCCTCTTTGATTTTCCATGTTGCATGTCGAAACCACAAAACTCAGAATCTCTTTTGCAGGACCAAGAGTCAACACCGCCCGCAACAGATCAGCATATACCATTCAGAAAACGTAAACCTTGAGAACCTCTTGCCCCACGCCTAGAAATATGATTCTTGCAGACTCAGTGCCCGCTCGAAACTTGATGATAACTCAAAATTTCATCATGCCTCCTCCAGATATTGCTGTGAGTTATTTTCCTTTTTTCACCTTGTTTTACTATTTGCTCTTCCAGGAAGGCTATCTGCCGGATGAGGAGATGGACGATTGGGTGACTCATTGGCTCACAAATGAGAAATTTCAAAATTTCGCTTCTTGTACGGATATGACGACACCGACTTCTACTAATCAGAGCAAAGGGGATACTTGTAGTGAAAGTGAGAGGTGAGTCTGGAAGAGGAGGGAACTGGAAATGAGATTTGATGGGTTTAGAGCCGAAAGCGAGGAGTTAGAATTGCTTCGAGAGGTGACAAACAATCAGAAGAAGAAAATTGAGGAGATGAAGCATGAGATGAATGCGATGACAATGCATATTGAGCAGATGAGGTAGGTGGCTAATATTTAGGATGAGGGTAACTGTAGATTTGTTGGTAATTATTTAACATTCATGAAACTTCGAAAATATGTTTTGAAATTCAGAAATTTAAGATTTCCGAAAAATTCCGAAATTTTCATTCCGGACACCCCTGTTGTTGTAGATCCGTTGGTCATTCTCTGAAGTCCGTAAACATGAACGGAAGTCCATAAACATACACAGTTCAAAGATTGTTGCATTCTTAGAAAGATAAAAAAGGTTTATGCGTTCGGGGGGAATCGAACCCCCGTCGAATGCTTGGAAGGCATCCATGCTGACCATTACACCACGAACGCGCACAAGTCTATCAGGCACGTCCATAAACATAAATGAATCGTGTTTCGTGAGGCTTTGTAATCTGCTTTGTAGTCTGTTATCTATAGATCTTCATGAAACGACAGAGATAGTCTGGTTGATAATAAGAGTTGATAATAAGAGTTGATAGTCTGGTTGATAATAATACATACTCATGGAAAACGTTTATTGAGATTAAATATCAACGAAAATACGGATTATTTTCCCCATGGACAATCTGGCCCCAAACATGGTCCCGGATAGAATCCATTGTGTCGATTACCAGTGTGATAGTTTCCATAACTGTCGTAGTGCCAGCCAGATGAAGGTGAAAATATTTGTGAGTGTCCGAGCTCGAAAAGAATTAGGAAAACCGCCAAAATAATCAATAGTTGCATTTTTTAAGATTTAGAGAGATGATGATGTAACTTCCAATAAAAACAACCTGCTTATATACAATTTCCAGAAGTTTACTTCAATGTTCTATTATTTGTAATCATCATCATTTTGCAAGTCATGCATCTTTCCTGTAAAATCATCTCATACTAAACTTCTCATATCACCTGGCAACGTCATTTGAACTGTGTAGTCAAACCACTACAAAATGAACATTACAACAGTATCATTAGTTCGTGGAGATCAGAAAACAGAACAGTTTTGATTAAGTCATGAACTATATTTTTGAAAACATGTCTAATCGGTTTGAACATGACGATGGTTCGAAAAACAGTTCGGGTCATTTTGACATCACCTGACAGTGCGGATTATAATCTGCAACGGGGTTTCGAAAAATATATCGTTTTGGAAAAAATAATTTTTAATGATGTCGAAGTAATAAAAATAAAACTGATTTGGAGGTGGGAGGTATGAGTTTTACTCCGAGTAATAGGCATTTATTTTGGTTTTTTTCGAGAGTAGGGGACTTGAAAAAAAGAAATTTTATGAGATTCTGGAGTTTGGAGCTCGGATGTCAAGTTTCCAACACAATGAAAATTGTGAAACCTAGAATGAAAACCAACTGAAAAATGAAACTAGAGCTTTTTTTTGTAGTTTTCAACGTTTTTCTCGAAATCAAGTCCTGTGGAGATATATCACGTGGAAGCGCGCTACCCCTCCCTCGGTTAGGCACTAAGAAGCGCCCACTTCCACGCGGCATATCTCTCCAAGATTCAAATTTTCAAAAAAGTTGTAAATTGCAGAAATGAGGCTCTAGTCTTGTTTAGTATGTTTTGAAATTTTCAGACAAATCCAAAAAATTTTGAGCTAATGTTTCAGACATTTAACACATATCTTATTGACCAGTTCTGTATCAGCGTACACCATCACATCAGAATGCATACCCTAGACCTGAAAAATATTCCAAAAACTTTTTTTCCTTCAAAAATAGGAACTAATTCCAGAAAACGCAATGATTCCGGAACAGGAGCTGACCGTGACACCCTATCAACACAAAACAAATTTCTCAACTCTGAAATTCTTCGAATGAGCGCGAAATGTGAAATCTTGTCAATGCAGAGTAATGGAAGTAGCAAGTAAGTTTCTCAGGTAAACGGACAATTTTCAAAACACTATCAAGGAAATGCAGAGAGAACAAAAGACTAGCCGAGGAACTTCAATTGCTACGTTGCGACTACGTTTACGCCATACAATCTACTATCAGAATTCCATTGCACGATAACTCTGCAATGGATGTGATGTCTGTAAAGTTGTTGGGAGGAGATACAGTAAGACAAGAGTGAAGATTTTCACGTCCTCCTACGGGTTTACAGCACAAATCTCGTCTCATCCAACTTATGGCTGAAGCCCGCCAACACGATCCAAGTCTTCCGACACTTCAAAGTTTGCTACAAGGCATTTATGTGGATTCATTTGGATTTCGAATCAATTTCAAAGAAGAACCTAATGCGCTTCACTATATGGCCACAAAGCTCAATCATTTCTATCTGAACCGATCAAAATCTGCAAATGAACACAAGAGCAATTGGAAGAGGTTCTTGGAAGAAAACGACTTCATCGATCTTACTGTAAGTGTTCTATTATTTAAAGCTTCATAGCTCGAAAGTTTTCAGCCGGAGACCAAAGTAATGTGCAGGAAAGGTATTCCTAACTCGCTGAGAGCAACTGTCTGGAGAATTCTTATTAACCAACAAGTGGAAGATTTAAAGAATGTTTATGGCAAATACTACTATCGAAACTTGTGCAATATCCAGGGCGGAGAAGATGAAAAGCTGGTAAATATAATTTTTGGAAAAAAAAACTGATCTCTAAATTTTTACAGTATTCCGACGTTCATCAAAAACAAATATACTTGGATTTGCTGCGAACAATGCCGAACAACGTGCATTTCATGAGCGCAAACAGCAAAGGGGTCGGTGAAATTTCATGGAGCAGTTTTAATGGCAAAAAATGATTTCAGATCACTCAATTATTACAAGTCCTTCACGCATTTTGTCTTCATAATTCTCAAATTGGATACTGCCAAGGAATGAACTTCCTAGCAGCCACTGCATTGCTGTTTGTGGGTCCAGAAGATGCATTCTGGTTTTTGATTGCTATCACCGAAAGATATTTTGACAAAACTTATTTCGATAGCAATCTAACCGGCGCCCAGGCAGACCAAGAAGTGCTCAAAAATCTTCTAGAAGTTCAGCACCCAAGAATCATGACCCATTTGAAAAGTTTAGAGATTGATGTCGCATCATTCACATTGAACTGGTTTATTGCCTTGTTCTTTGATTCTGTCCCATTTAATGTGAGAATTACAAATATTGAGTGGAAAGCGAGAAAAGTTCATTTTCAGACATTGTTGAGAATCTGGGACTGTTTTTTGTTAGAGGGACCAAAGGTGCTCTTCCGTTTTGCTCTTGTGTTAATTGGCAAGCATGAGGAAGAAATCATCAGTAGAACAGATACAATTGGGATAATGAGAGTTTCCAAAGCAGCGTCCAAATTGGCATATGATGAGGAGGCAATAGTGAATGTAATTTTAAGACATGGAGAGAATAAATCAGACTATCTTATGATTTCAGATGGCCTTCCATATTCAAAACCTTCCGACCCGGGGCGAACTGAAGAGTATGCAACAACAATATGTTAGTTTGTTAGCGGAGAAGCTGGAGAAAAAGACCAAAAGAGCAAATGAATTCGTGGTAGGTCGATAAATGAGCGAGCACATCTAAAAAACAAAATTTCAGAAAAGCATTGCTAGCAACTTGTCGAATGAGAAACTCATATCAAACATTTTTATCGATCAGTTTACTCCGAATACAGGTACCGTTTATCCGCTAGTAGAAGCCCACGCAAACCGTCCATTTTGAGCTTATTTAGCTTATTTCCTGAGAAAGATATCAAAAAAGTTGTCAACTGATAAAATATTAGCGATATTATGGTTAACGATTTGATGAAAGTTGATGAAATGTTGATATCTTTTACACGATTGGAGATAATCGAACCTAATTTAGCCGTTACGGTTTGGCTTATATTTAAAGGAATACGATATTTACTCTTTTATGCTCACCAGGATGATTGATAATAATTTTTAAGGCTTCATAGTTTCTGGTCACCATCTCATGGGGAAAATTGCGGCTATCAAGGTTGTCAAGGACAAGGGAACAATGAAGGATATTGATGTGGAGGTACATATTTAGAACAAAAAAGTGGAAATTGTGATCGGAATAAATTATAATTTTCAGTTCGATTGTCGTGTGATGTCAATTTGTATGGTGCGAAAAGATATGGCATATGTTAGCTTGATATCCGGATATTTGATTGCTGCACATGTCAGCAGTGACAACGAATGGTACTTTCCACATTTCCCTTTATGACTATCTAGCCATTTTCTAGGAGTATTCTCTGGGAACTGAAGCTTCCCGATGTTGCCACCTTCCTCATCCACCGAGAGAATACCCTTTTCGCTGGTCTCGCCAACGGTATCCTAACAGTGTTTGAAAACGCTGGAGAGCGTTGGCCAACTAGTGTCCAAATGTGGCACATGCCGCTTAGTTCCTCTCCGTTGATGAATGCAGCAGTTCATGATGATACATTGGTGGTGGCGACGGCATGTAAGCTGATTACACTGGACGCACAGTCGTTGACAAATCTGTCGACTACACATGTGGCATCATCGAATGTGGGATCAGGGGTTATACATTTTGACAAGGTCAGCGAAATTTTTGCAATGATAAAAAACAAGAAAAACAACTTCAAAGTCTCTTTCAGATCACCTGCATGTCGGAATCGAATTTCGGTATATTTTTGACAACCGACCACTCGAATTTGATTCAATTATGGCAAGACACCACTTGCAATCTCCTTTACGATATTTCTTTTGACCACAAAACAAGGTTACCTGTCACTATTAATTAGGCTTTTTATTTGAAAAGATTATTTAGGAAACCATCTCTATCGGAAGCCGATAATAGTAGCTATGTAGAATCAATGCTTTTCAATGATGGCATTTTATGGTTGGGCACTTCGGATGGGTACATTTTCATTTACAATGTAGATAATGAGAGAGGGAAAGAAGAGGTCAAGTACAAACTGAAAAGATTCCCGGGAGACAAGCGGAACAGTCGAAGAGGATCTTCGGCCAGATCCCAACGCCTTGGCTCTCTTCCAGAAGACGATGACGAGAGTGACGATAGTATTCCAACATTTTGTACCGAGAAACGGGCTAGTCGGGTTAGCATCAGCATAGACAGAGAGACACAACAATATAGTGGTAAGGGGCGCTTTGTTTTCTTCAGAAAAAAATCGAGAATTTCAGTAGCTTCATTCCAACAAAACAATAATACAGAAGAGCAAGATTTCCCAGGAAGCAATTCGAGGTGATTTGTAGCAATTCTAGGTGGTTCCAGGTAATCTAACCAAATGAAATTTCAGCAGATTGAATAGTACCTCTTCCAAAACAATGCGTTTCCCAATGAAAAAAGGGTTCAGTGCAGATTCAGCAGTATCGGTGTTCAGTTCGGAGCCGAATGAGTTGATTGAGAAAATTGATGAGAATTTATTGCATGTGAAGAAAGACTCGCCGAGATTCAGGGATAATAGGTGAGTCAGGATGCGGGACATTCGAATCTCAATGAACATTTTGTTAGTTCACCGTTTTTTATATCTCAGGAGCTCGGCCATCAAGTTTCCAATCACTTTGAAAACTTTATAACTTGTAGAACAGACCTAGATTCAAAACTTACAAAATGTTTTGAAAATGCCTACTTCATCAGTTAGTTAAAAAAAAATGTTTCAGTACAGAAATGGGCCAAAAATGGTGCTTTTCAGAATCCTGTGAATAACTGAATAACTGATAAAATAGCAATTTTCAAAAAGTTCTGTAAATGCAAAGTCCTCTTCTATTGTCGGAATTATAAAACTGCGATTTCGGTGTATG